CACATGATGTCCTTTGATGTGCTAGATTCTTCAACTGAGATAAATCTGTACAAGGATCTTGACTGCAGACAGCATGCTATGGTAGATGTATCCTTTTAGGCAGTTTATAACTAATAGGGGTATGGTGGGTTGGGTATAAATTCAGAGTAAACTACTCATGTCCAAACCCTGGATCCACCCCTGGCCTCTTAACTCTGGGTCTTCAGTTAGATTCATAGACTAATTACATCACATGAGAGTAGAGTTTGTTAGGTTAATTGATTCCTCAATTTGAGATTTTTGCTCCTAGTTTCTCCAGTTGTCCCCCCTCTGCAAAACCTAACAAGACAAAATTCAATTGCTTTTTGATCTATTAGCTGTGGCCTCTCTTTGATCTGTCCTGAGGTTGTTTCAGGGTTCAATAAAATTTGGTGGTTTCAAATATTGCAATAAAGTCATTATTGTAAGATATTATGTTACAATTTGAGCTAACCTGAATTCTAGATTTAACAACGTCGGCAGGAAATACAGCAGTCCACAAACATACTCCTGCAAATCCTCCAGCGAGAATCATTTTGAATGGGTTGGTTACTGTGAATGGGAAAATAAGAGGGAAATCAATCAAAACTTGGCATTATGTTTGCTTTAAACTACTGTAAATATCAGGAAAATACTAGTTAGCTAGCTTACCCATATCATTAACATCGCCACCAACAGGGGTCATCATATAGCGACTAAATTCATAACCACCAAAAAAGAAGAAATAACCAGGGACTTCTCTAGCCCAGGTACTTGTCATACCACGGAACAAACCAAGAAAGCCATCTTGCTTAACAATCTGCATTGTCACTTGGATAACGCCACTGAGGAAGTTAGTAAGCAATGATCATCAAACTTAACATCATTTTAAAAACTATTGCATGTTTATGCTTCTACATAATGATTTTAACTTCTGCACATCAAACTTGCAGCRTCACAAGAATCTGAAGCGTTACAAGTAACGTAATGACAACAAATCATTATAATATTAGCAGAAGGACTTACCCTCATTGGGAAGGGGGTTCACACATGCATCCAATGACTCCCCTCCTGGATGTCACAACTCACATGCATCTTGACCCCCCTTCCTGAATAACCAGGGGCTATGGAGAAGGGTGGCTTGCCATCTTCCCTCACATTTTTGAAGTTTCCCCTCAAAACCATAGCATCTTGAAAGGTAGCCGTGCCTTTGCATCAAAGCGAGACAAACAGTRAGCTTGCAATGATAGAGACATAGCGAATAATTGTCCAAGGTGTTGAAAAAAGGTGTCTATCATTGCAAGCTCACGGTTCGTCTCACTTCGATGCAAAGGTACGGCTACCTTTCAAGATGGCGCAGGGAACTGTGAAATGGACTATTCCTGAATTTGCAGTGTGGTAGGGCATTATATCCCCCTGAACTATGCTCTGCAGTCCCCGATAAATATAACATAATACCTGTTTTTGTCTTATACTGAAAACGCATTGATTGCTTCGCGTCCACACTAGCGTTTTCATAACTTTTTTGACCGTATTACAGCCTTGGGCAAAGCTGCTCATCATATGATAAAACATGGCTTTGCAACTGAAGCCTTGCTTTCTTTCTCTTGTTAAACATCACGTTAATTACACACGCGTGCTTAATCAATGATTAATTGGAGTGTTAAATTATTAATACCTTTTTGGACCGGTTTTCCCCGCCATCATATTCATTTGGTGTTGACCCTGAAGGCGACACTTGACCAGTTCAGTGGGACAAAGAGCAAACGACATAAAAAACGCGGCTCCGCTACCAGCACATGCTCTATGAAAAACAGTCAAATCTTTCTCAGTCTTAGCACCCGTTAGTTTTCGAATAGCCATCACACACTGACCATAAAAGAGAAAGAGGAAAGAGTTCTCGGCTATATTCGCTGCTAACGAAGGCACTGTTCCTGCGTAAAGACCTTTAAAATGTTCTTGCTTGAATGTCTTAACTCCACAATCCAAAGCGTTCTTGAATAAATGAGGAAAAGTCTGCATTTTGACTTTGATAGTATCGAATGGTTGACCAACAAGAACGCATGCGGTTCCTCCCATTGCACCAGCAGTAAAATCCTTGATCATGCGTTTAACTCCACTAAACTCCATTTTAACTGCAGAGGTATCTGTCATTATGGTTATTGAATCGCGTGGGTAATAATAACTTCACCTAAATATGTGTACAATTCCAACGTAAAGACACGAGTGAAGGTGAACAATGAAATCTGGAATTCGAAAAGATCTATATCGATCAGCGCCTGATTTTTGAAATAAAAAGAATAGTGCTATAAATAAAAGGATATAAATTATGTCTTTTTCGCTAATCACTTTTTTAAACGTCTATTCTTCGCAAAGGCAAGAAATATACTTGGGATCGAAATGCGACACAAAAAAATTTACCGCTTTCTGAGGAACCGCTCCGGACACAGGAACCCCACTTTTACCATTTAAAGTTAAATAAAATGCTCGAATATTTAACAACATTCGAAATCATATGATTGAACATTTAAAAAGTCGAAATCTTGCATTTCTTATTGTGGGGCACCATATGATTATATGTAATCAAGTTCTTTATGCAAAATGAAAAAATATATGACTTCGTATGCGCTTGGGGTTCCTGTGTATATAGTCACAAAGAATCCAAGATGGAGGCGAACGGTCCACAACTTGCGCGACAATATGTTATGGATAAAAAGAGGTATAACTCATAAATACAAGCGAAAGTTCTTTCGAATACTAGGGATTAGGATTTTGTCTTGGACTGAAATTAAGTTTCCTTGTAATTACTGATGAAATATCGCTTATTTTAACTTAGGAAACAAGATGCCAGTCAGCAGAAATGCCAAAAGTGTCTACAGATGGGTCACTGGACTTATGAATGCAATAACAAACGAAAATACGTCCACAGACAGTCGAGAACAGCAGTAATGAATAAAAAAAGGAAAGCTTTGATGTCTGCTCTAGAGGGAGGCAATAATGCAGTGAGGTAATGTAAAAATATATATATATTGAACAAGCAGTTAGCTATAGAAACCAATTATTCAGTATTTAAAATAGGGCTCCATGTCATTTATTATTAAGCCTTGGTCCTCCTTATCCCTTTTGATGTAATTATTCATCATATCTAAATATTTATTACCTTTTCTTTCACTTTTACTTTAGTACCGGGATTGAAAAGAAGAAAGGAAAGAAAAAGGAGAAAAGGTCTGTAGTAAAATAAGAGTTTCATGTCTCATATGCAGATCTGAACAAAGGTTTTTTAATATTAGCATTTTAATTTCCATCGACACCTATATCATAAATGAATCCTGCTATTTTGACAGCAAAAAAGATGCAGAAGAAAGTGACTCTGATGAGGACCAATCAGACAAATCATCCACGGACAGCAGCAATGATGATAGCAGCACAGACAGTGACAGTGATAGTAGCTCCACAGACAGCGAAAGCTCAAGCAGTTCTAGTGATAGCGACAGTAGTGAAGCATCATCGTCATCATCTTTTTCCTCATCTAGTTCTGAATCAGATCATGGCAGATCAAAGCATAGAAGAAGAAAAAGACTTAAAAGATAGTTATAAGTTAAATTGTATTCTTGCAAATTCAGGGCTAGATTTTACTGCTTACTTTGGTAGCTAGTAACCATGACTAACTACTGTGGTCTACGATACAAATGGATTTGTTGTAAAGAACTATAATGCAAAGCTTATTTTTTAATACAGAGATGAACCCTTTGCTAAGACAATTTATAAGGACATCAAAAAGTATTGAACTGAAAATCTTTCAATCCCAGAGACAGAAAACCATTTTCATTTTGCTCTAGTTATTGTTAAGGATGCAAATGATTTGTTGTCATTATGATGGCAGTTGTATGGCTCTTAACCATACATAAATCCTATCCATTTTATTCCGTTCTCTCCCTAAAGTTGTGTGAATATTTTATTTTATTTTTTATGTTATATGTTGTATTTTATTCTTTGATTACAAAGTGCATTCTGATATTGTGTGAATCTGTGAAATGGGGAAAAGGCATTGTTTCTTCAGCACATACACCCCCCCTCCCCCAATAAAAGTCCAGTAGTTGGTGATGTAACTTCACAATACAGCAATTATATTTTTGGAAGAGATCTTTCCACCCTGGTCCCTCTTTCCTTCTCCCTATCCCTCTTATGGTAGGCCCGTAAAAAGGTTAAAACTCATTGGATTGAATTCGAATAGAGTACAGAGACAAAGAATGGCAGCAAGGACACACAAGCAAACATTGGAAAGCCCACTACGAAAATAACTACAAAAGTGACTACAAATGTATTCTTACAATATACAATTCTACATACTTTGAAATAATCTAGGTACAAGTCATTGCTTGGGCTTCCCGTGGACAAAGTAATCACTGTTTTAGGCTCCCTGTGCATCCTTTGACCGCAGTGGGTTGGTAAGTAGCATGTCCGCTGTCTAGTAATTTTTGCAGGCGCCAAAACTAAAAACAGAAATACAACTTATTTATACAATTAACTGGGAAAAAGGCGTTTGAAAATCCTTTTCTATACAAGTTTTCGAAAAAGTAACAACTTCCAATGCTTTAAGACAAAGTCTTGATCATCGTCTTGGCATTTTCTGCTCCAAAAATCCGCCAAAATGATGGAACTATCCTTGAACCGATGTGACTACTTGCAGGTGTGTGACAAATTTTGATGGCCGCCAGAAAGAAATATTTTATGGTAAATTGCGTTATGGATTTGATTTATTGGTGTCTTTTCAATGCTTTTCTATACTAGGTTGGGGTCACATCGCCTAAAACTATGAAGCTGTTGTCGTCTGGGGGCAAGAGAAGCACGCAAAAGGTAAATTAGTAAGGTCTCTCTGGTTTCCAAGGTAAACAAATTCATCCCTTTTACATAGTGGTCCACACAAAATGTACTGGTTTTCTCGGTGACACTAATAATGCAATCATTTGAATGTTACCCGGAGCGCAATTCATACGTTGTACTGGTTTCAGATAATGTGGATATACAAGAAAGCCTCAAGATCAAGGAGCAATGAACTTAAGAATAGTTGGAAAATTCCATTTCTCACTGAGAAAGGGATGATATTTTTTTTGTATTCCGCATAGTTGAAGGTTGCTGGATTTAGGACTACCTACTGATCCTACATTTTTAGAACAGATAAATAGCTAAAAACTAGTGTGAGCTGCGTCWGTGTTTCTAATAAAACAGTAATGATAAAAGGGTAAATTTTACGCTGTGAAAAGACGTTTCTGACGCTACTGATGTTTCAGACTCTATTCCTTCATTGGAGTAAAAGAGTATTTTTAGAATGTAAACACCCTCTTGATGTCATCTTAAAATGAAATCAGTATTTGACCTCCTCCCCACCCCTCCCCCCACCCGTTTTCATCATGATAGCAGTCCCCTGTAGTACTCATTTACATATTAGTCTTCCGCTGTCATATTTACTTGATGTTTTCATAATTATCCCTAGGTTGCTATTGCTGACAATGATGGTGTATTAACCTGCTTTGGTATGAAGAAAAAGACATCACAGGTTTATATAGATATAATTTTTCAATAAATTGAATTTTATTATTTATAAATATATATTTTTATTTATTTATTTTTTTTAAATATATCAAATCCAATCACTAATTTTCTGTTAAGTTGAAGACTCATCTTTTTTGATATTTGTGCTAGCACAATCTAATTTGTGTTCTCTGTTGTTGTTTTATATTTTAGATTGTTTTCAAGACACTGCCAACCTCACCTATAACACGGCTTTGCCTGGGTGGACTAGATGGTCCCTCAGTAGATAAAATATTTGTCACATCAGGTGCTGAAGTGAGAGGCTATACCAAGAAAGGAAAGCAGTTCCTAGGCTTTGATACCAATCTGACCGAAAGCATACAGTCCATGTAAGTAATGTGATCAGGAGTCACTTTAGGGAATACAGTCAATTCAAAAAACGTTGTCGTCGACCGGCTCAAGCCTACGCGACTGGACCGAAAGGAATATGGGTAAAAACCACTGAAGCGGTTAAATATTCGTTCTGAATTAATCRTTCCCGCTAGTAATAAGATAATAATGGCGAGAAACAATCCATCAAATGCATGTCTTCAGGTTTAGGGAAAGAAAAACAAAGTAGTTATGATTCAGTTCACAATTCAGAAAATATGAAGGCATTAAAAAAAACGTATCCTTCAACACTTCCCGCTCGCCTACGAAGGTTCGTGCTTTAAACCAGGTATAACTAGTAATATGAGGTATAACTAGTAGTATAACTATAACAGATAAAATTATGGAGTCAACTTAGCTTCAATGATTACTACCCAGAGTTCCTTTTGGTCCAGTCGCGTAGGCTTGAGTTGGTCGACGACAACATTTTTTGAATTGACTGTATATAAAGTGTATCGTGGGAATAGGTTACAAGGTAATGAATGGCATATTTAAGAACAAAGCCATGTGTGAAGGGAAATTGGCATTCTCAGCTATCTCAAAGTATTTGAAGAAAATAAGCAGGTTGCAACCCTGAGGGAAAATGTTGCATAGTGATGGAACACTGGAATGTCTTAGCAAAATTGAAAAGTGAACAAAAAATGAAGGAAAGGTTACAATAATATTGTACAAATTTATACATAAATGCTTGCATCTCAGCTACATGTAGCTTTATCCAATGAGAGTTTGGTACATCTCTGGAGACAGAAGCCTTATACAGAAGTATAGCTAAGCTATTCAAAGATCAGTATAGCTTGTTTATAATAGTTTACCTGATCTACATATTCCACTTGTTTTTTCTAGGCATGTTTATGAAGCAGATCTTTTTCTGTGTGGCAATTATATCTACAATCACTACAAAGATTGCAAGGATGAAAACTACTTTCTCTCAGGAGATAAAATCAATGATGTTATTACCCTACCTCCAAAAAGGTCTGTAGTATACCCTTTAATTTACTACATTTCATGTTTACGTAGTCTAACACTGTTCATGGTATTGATTGGAAATAGTACATGAACGTTTGAATGGACATGGATATACATAGTACTTACTATTAATAGCTGTAGTAATATTGTGTGGTTCCAGAATATATCTATACCCACCCACGGAGGAAGCTTTAAGCTTTAAAATTTCTTTTTATGAATGTGTAGTTCCAGAAAATATCCACATCCCACCAATGGAGGAAATTGGAGATTCTGGGGGGGGAGAAAGAACGAAAGAGGAAGATCAAAATTACAGAGTCTGTGGAAGAAAATTGGAAGTTCTGGGGGTACGGGAGTCCACAGCTTTTATATAATACCCGTTAAGGTGGGGTATGGATACTTTCTGGAACTACACATTATAATACAAATTTATCCATTTTTTTTATTCAAGAAATGGTGAGCAGTTTCCTATACTTGCTTGTCAAGACAGAGTTCTCAGGGTGTTGCAGGTGAGTTATTATTTTTATCACTTTATTTGTATAGTCACTTCCCTGCTAGCAGAGTCTCTCCTCTTTCTCTCCCTTCTTTTAGGCATAGAGGAGGGAGACTCTGCCGATGTAGAGCGTTTCCTTTGATACACCGCCATCCACGATGGTGGACGAAAGAAACCAGTTTTAAAACCGGTTCTTAACCAGGTACATGTAGTGCGCATGAGCAAATGTAACACAACATGGCGTCAAACCTTTTTTTGACGAGAGTGGCTGTCAAAATCATGACAGCGTTGCTAAGTTATGCCACGCAGGCACGACAAGTATATCATCCTACATCGGCAGAGTCTATTTTCTCACAACCAAAACAAAAGGAAAATAGACTCTGCTAGCAGGGAATATAGTCACTTACTGATAGAATGTCTTACATTTCAAAATAAAGTAATACTACATCTTCGATATCCTCTTTCTAACAGGATTCAGATTTGTTGTACGAGGTAGAAGTTGCTGGTCCTCCTCTTGTGTTGGCTCTTGGAAATGGCAATGGAGGTAGCTTATAAAACGACATATTTTGATCGATGTTAATTATAGCTAATATTTATCTATCTGGTCTACCTTAATTATTATGACTTATTTGCTTAATTCCAGGTGCAAGCAGAGAGGATGTCATCTATGGAACATCAGATGGCAAGATAGGACTGGTGCAGATAGGAAGGTATTTGAAATATAAACGTCATAATTATGAGGAGATTTTAGTGGCCAGTAGTAATATCATGGAAGGCAAATTGATAGGATAGACTAGAACATGAGGGGCGAGATCACTACCACTATGTATGCTTATTACCAAAGATAGCATAGACTGTAATATGAGGGGTGAGATCACTACCACTATGTATGCTTATTACCAAA